GAGTTTATGTTTACTTTATTTAGGAAACCAAACAAGATGAACACAAATGTAAGAAGCCAGAAGAAACTTCTACAAGTGAGAAGTGCAAGAGAAGAAACTGTTAGCATAGAACTTGCAGTTACATCTAGCAATTTCAACAGTAAAACCTTGCCACCAATTTAGTATTGTGCCTAAATTCATAAAGTCTAGGTACCAAAGAGGAAAGCTCATCAGAACAATAGCCATGAAAGTATTTATAGAAAGTGCACAGGAAAGCTAAGTCACAGTAATGGGAAAATGACTGAAGTTAGATGTCAGGTCATGACCAATAATATTGTAGATTCTTTGTATTTTGTTAAGAATCTCTAATTTGCCACTTTTATTTTCCATGTTAACCTATAGGCAACCTATGCCTCCTAGAAACATCACTTAATGCAAGTTCAGTCTGTAGTGCATTCACACATGAACTGTACACCATGAATAGGATTAGTTCATCAAAACCGTGTTGAGTACTCTAGAAATGCAGCCTTGTGTAATTTTGAGTTGAATAAATTAACATGCAAGTAAGAACCTATTACAACCTATTACAAGGCTTTATTTCAGTATAATACCTAAAAAAAAAAAAAAAAATGAATCATAAAAAAACCCACTTTCTTGAAGCTTTAATTTCAAGCTCATAGCTAACTTGCTTGGGGTTAAATAATTCAAATATAGACACACATTATATAGATTGCTGTTACACATTCAGCACTTTAATTATTACTTTTTCTTATATTCACTTCATTAAAATTTTAAAGTGTATCTGGCCTTAAAAAGTACTAATTACACAAAAATGATAGGTAGGTTTAATTTAATAAAAATGATGTATATTTAAACTAGGTATGTCGAAAAATAAAAAAAATTAATAAAAAAAAGAAGAAAACATACCTAAGTTTCAAAATGAATTATTAAAGTGAAAAATCTTTCATGAAGATTTAATTTCAGTTTTAATTTCAAGCTAATAGATTAAATCTTATATTTCCAATAAGCAAATTACTCGGCTGTATTTAAAACTGAATTTAAATACATTTTAATCTTAGTTTTCCTCCCCTAAAATCTACAAATTCCTCCATATTGACAGATCTGTCAATACAACATAATTCTTTTTTTTTTAAACAGTTTTCAAAAATAAAATATGCTTTTCCAAAACATTATTTGAGGAAGATTAGTTGATGTAAATTTTACTTAATTTGAATTGAAACAATTATTTAATTTTAGTTTAAAATGTCATAGAAAGGTATTTTTTAACATAGAGGGGGCATCTGATTTATTAACCTGATGTATGGGAAATTTAAATAAGGGTGACATAAAAGAAAAAAATTCCTTGACAAATACATGAACACCTTTTTAGTATCTTTAATTACACAGTAATCTAATATTTCATTACATTTTAGGTACTTTAGCCTTATAGCCTTACTAATGAAAAATGCTTGATGAGAAAAGATTAGAAAATAACCAATAAATTTTAAATTTATTATAGATATCTCAAGTATTTTCTGATAATGTGTATTTACAAAAATTGGCGCATTTACACACACAGGCACACACACAAAATCCAAATACTTTTAAAAATAATGGGGAAGGTGGGTCATTGAATTGTGGGTTTTTCCATTTATGGCTAGTAACTACAGATTTAATTTAATAACAATATCACTTGTCCACAACAAATTAATACAAAATTTTAAAAGATTTAATAATTCATAATAATTCTAAATAAAAAAAATGTAATTCTTGTAATTCATGAAAATTTTTTTTCTTAAAGACAATGATGCCCATATTTTATTCATAAAAGCAATTAAAAGCTTTTCCAATTTAAAACACTATTAGTTTTCTTGCAGTTTTTTTATTTTATGATTTTCGGTCAGTCACTGAATTTAAGTCAAATTTTTTTTGTCAAGCAGGATGTTTGTAAAAAAAAAAAAAAAAATGATTTAATTTCTCTAAGGACTTGTCCTTATAACCAATAATGGCATCTTAAATTTCCAGGAACTGATTCTATAAAGGCAGGTAATCTTTAAGAACCTATTCTGATTATTTTCTTTTCAATCTTAGAATGGAAACAAATCACTTTATAGTGTCAAAAAGAATTAAACTATTTTGATAATTTAATAGAAAACATTGATTTATTATGAGATTTCCTGATTGAAATTGTTCTCATGATATTTCTGTTCAGAAGTATGATGCTTTTTTTTACTCTAGTGTCATCAGTGGTGTTATGGCTTCTTAGCCACATTCGAACTGAATTGCTGCAGTCCCAAAAATCCAATGGAAAACCTATCAAATTTATGACTAGAAGATTTGCCACATTTTTAACCTCAAGATGGTTTCTTTTGCCATCACAGAATAAACTCTATCAAGACTCCACAGAAGTTACAGCAATGTTATTAATTATAATTTTAGCTATTATATCAGCCATTAATACATAAGATTATTGTTGGATAATCCAACCAGTTTGCTAAGATTTTATAATTTTAAGAATCAGTTTGTGCAAACTGGTAGGATGCCACCACTGCTTATAATATAAACATTGATCAATGCAAAAAAGAATTTCTTGAAATTAAATGAGTGAGAAGGAGTAATGTGTAAAAATAATTTTTTTGCAAAGATTTTCTAAAAAAGAAACATTTAAATTCATTCATTTTGGAATAATTCCTAATATTTTCCATAAAATTCGATAATTAACTGATTTTCACAATAATTTCTTAATCAATGTATTTTTGACCACAAGAAGATGCCCAAATTTCTCCTACAAAAAAAAAAAAAAAAAATGTCCCGCGTTGGTGTTATAAAAAAAAAAAAAAAAAAATGAAAATATTTTAAAGTTTTAGCTACTTTCTAAATAATATTTAAAAAATCACATAACAATATCCTTTGATCTTTTGTCTTAACAATAACACAAAGATTTTCACGATTATGTTTCAGCCATTTTTTCATCATATATCTTTTTTAACTAATTTTCGGAGGAACCTAACTAAATTCAACTTAAAATGTGCACACTTGTTGCAAGATGGCGTTTGTCTTATCGGGGGGGAGTAACAAAGGGAAATAACTAGCGTTCCCATTTTAATAATATCTTAGTTATAACGAGAGAAAAAAAATTAAGTTCAAGGGGAATAACTCTCATTCCCCAACTACATATTTATACAACAGTTGGCACCGTCTCAAAATTACTAGGGTTGACAAGTGCTTTTGATACACAAAAATACATTTGAAAAACCCTTTAAGAATGAAAGAAAGTGTGAAAAGTACTTGTAGTATCAAGTGATATTATTAAATCAATATTTGTCTCGTGTTTGAACAAAAATACCAATTGAGTAAAACTGAAATATATTCTAAGATGTGATTGACCTTACCCTACTGTTTGCATCATTCTCTCTAAAGGTCAAATTTCGCACGAGAATAATGAGGAAAAAAATGAAGAAAGTCTTGTCAAACTTAATAAAAGTTGAAGCAATAATGCTATGTAGTGAAAGAGATAGAATGAAAATTTTGCTGGATGTTTCATGTCTCCCCAGATTGCATGAAATCTGAATAAGCAAACACTGGAATCGTGTACAAAAATAAGCATAAAGCAGCAAAGAAAATAAATGAAGTTTAAAGAAATAAATTATTGAGAACACTAGGATTTGAACCTGGAATTAATCACAAATTAAGAAATGGAATTCATTGAAAGTCAGTATTAGGGGAGAAAGTCCTCTTCAGGAAATCCATCAGTTGATAAAACAGGCTATGTTGGTCAAGAAAACTGGTTTTGCAAAATGATGCAAAACTTGATAAAACTCAAATTTGCAAGAAAGCATATTTCTTTAGAATAAGGACAAGTTTTAAAACTGTCTTAAGTAAAGTTTAATTGCTCTGACTAGAGAAATAAAAAAACGTTTCAAAGTGAGAATTAAATTTGAAACTTCAAATTTAATTGACTGGTCTACTTGTGAAAAACAGAAAAGATTTGGGGGAAATGATTTTGGCAAATTAGCACTGCTACTATAGTAATGATATTTAACATCCATTTTCTACTATAGTACAAGATTTACCAACTGTTGGAAATATTAAATGGGTTTACAGTTAAACGTAGTGAACAGTGAAATGGTTATGTATTAAAAATTATTAACAATTTTTCATACAAAAAAAAAAATAATAGTAAACTGAGCATTTTCCAGTAATAATGAGAGCATCTTCATTTACAATCGGTTGCAAATGCCTCAGTAGATATCAGACTATAGTAGCACTAAATTAGCTTTCATGAGATTTAATTAGAATCAAGAAATATTGATTTTAACATTTTAGATTTATTGATGTTGGTTATTTAAAACCAAAACATATTTTGAATCACAAGAATAATTTTTTTTTTTTTTTTTTTAACTTTTGCAAATAAATTGTAAATAATTATTTTTCCAGATACAAGTCCAACAATTTAGCCTATATCTGGGAGGTATTTGCATGTAAATGAATATAAAGAACCTGACTGGAAGTTAAACTTGCTCTTTGATTTCTCATTCTGAGCTGCTATCTATTACACCACCAGCACGTCTATTTAACATTTTAGAAAGTGGGGGTCTTGTTCATATTATAAATACAGTATCAAATCAATCCCTAATTTCTTAACATGTTATCTGTAATTGGTTTTTATTTGCAAATGTTAAATTTGAAACTGTGTATGTCATTGGTAACTGTGTGCTATTACAAACTGATTGGTCGGTTGGTTGTTTTTGTTTAATTGTGTATCAAACTCTATGGGTTATTTCATGCCAAAATCTAAATATTTTGTATGCAATTTCATTTTATATTTGGAGATAATAATGGTTTAACAATACAAGTCTTACTAATTAACCCATAACTTGGGGAGAGAAGAGATAGATACATACCTTTCCCAAGTGTATTTACATGTAAGTGAATATAATAAATCCAACTGGAATTGGAAATCATCTGTCCATTTAACAAGTCTGAACCATTATCAATTTCACCACCTGTACAAATCCAAGCTTGCAGCACCTGGTATTCCCAAGTCATCACCCATCTAGATACTGATCAAGCTGAATGTTGCTTAGCTCTGGTGATCATACAGGAACTGATGTTTCAATGTGATGTGGCCATAAGCCAATTACAAATTGTAAAATGGACAATTCAGTAGAATGCATCTTTGAATTTTACTCATTACTTTATTGCTGATGTAATCAGTCAGTTCTAGTACATCATTTAGAAGCCTTATGAAAATTTCAGAAGATAGGAAAACAAGTTTTGTGTGTACTTATCCTTATTAATCAATGTTTAAGCATATCTTTCTCTTCTGTTTTGACACATAAAAATCAGTTTGGAAGAAGACAGTAACAGGCAGCAAAAATAAATTATAAGAATCCAAAATAAAGACCATTTTGCCTAAATCCAAGACAGTATTTAAACTTAAACAGGATGTACTGAGGAGAAATATTCTTCTGCACCTTCATAGAGTTTCAAATAAATTATTTATAACAACTTGTTGGGACTTTGACAGATTGTTTATTATACAATAAAAGAATACAAAATTTCACTGATAACTAAGAATAGAAATGTCTTTTTTTTTCCTGAGGATTTTGCCTATTGTCTTTATGATATAAATCTGACACAGTAAATGAGTATAGAGTTCAGAATGAAAGGTCCATCATAAGCAGTGTATTTATCAGACTTGTTACCTTCAGACAATCATTTGCTTTTTTTTTTCTTGATGCAATGCTCTTTTTCTAGTCCATTCCAAAAATTCAGAATCCATTCAGTCAAAACCTGAATAATTCTTTTATGACTGAACATAGTTTACATGAAAAGCAGTATGATGTCATGGAATACTAAGGAAATTAATTTGATTCATATGAATAAAAGACTGTGCCCAAAACAAACTGGAAACTTTTGCATCAACTTATAGATATGGTTTTCATTTGTTGTAGAGAATGTTAGAGTGACAGTTGTAATTTTTAAAGATTTAGTTATTGTATGAGTTTATAAAATATAATATATATTCTATAATAATACCGTCATCCTTATCTGGATCCTGCGGAGTGAACAATCATAAAACTTAAAGTTGACTTCCAATAAGTATTGTGACCTTTCAAAATTTTTGATACAATAATTATTTCTCTAAATATTTATTGAGCAATTTCATAAATTCTGTTTGCCTTGAGATACATTGAATGATATAATTTTACATATAGCAGTAGGTGCTATTATATATATATATATAATAATTTTGAATGTATATAAATTTGCCAATTTTTTGTAAACATGGACGGCCATAAAGAACATTATCAGAAAATAGCAATAACTGTAGTAAATTTAAAGCCAGAAAATATCTAAAATTCAATAAAACAGTACATTTATGCAGAATATTTTATTAAATTTAATATTTCTGAGTATTTTAAAAACTTAAAGTAAATAATATTTGTTTCAAATCAGATTATACTTTAAATCAGCTAATTTCTCAAATAAAATTTCAGAAAAGTATATTTTATTTTTGGAAGATTTTTTACAGTGTAACCCGGATATAAGAGAGTTGTCGGGACCAGAGAAGTCTCTTATATCCGGGTTTGGTCTATTTTGTTTAGGTAAGTATGGGAACACTTCATATAATGCTTTTTACGTACAGAACACTAGTTTATTTAACAGTTATAGACATGAAAAATGCAGATAAAAATACATTTTCAATCAGTTTTCAAAATAATTCAATCAAAAATTACTTTTTCTTAAAAACGTCAGTCATTTTTGATTGTACAGAAATCTCTTTGTTAACATCATGAACACTTTCATACAGTCCGTAAATCATTTTCAATGAGCCATCAGGATTACTGCTTTTTGCTTCAAAGTAGGCTGTCAGAGTTTCAAGCGCATTCAATGCAGCCAGAGAATTTGGCGCTGGTTTGTCACTTTCAGAAACGTCAGTAAACAGCTGACTAGTCATCCAGGCTTTACGATTAGTGAAGTAAGAAAACATCAGAGTTTTGACATTTTTAAAGCAGCGTGGTTTTGCCAATTTACCAACAACTACAGCTTGCTTTTCACTGCCTTCCATGTTTGTGAACTGAAGCATTGTGAGTCTGTCTTTGGGAACTTTTGTCCCATTTGACTGTTTGTCGCCAGCAAGTTGCAAAGATCCAGACGGCATGGCTTTGTAGAAAATTCCCGTTTCATCACAGTTCCAAACATCTTTTGGATCATATCCATGAAAAAGTTGGGGCAAAACGTTTGTCACCTATTCATTGGCAGAACTGTTATCTGCTGACGTTGATTTGCCGTGAAATTTTTTGAACAAAATGTTATTGGCCTGCTTCCAGCGCATGAGCCAGCCATTGCTCGGTTCAAAATCAACTTCAAGATTTACGGCCAGTTGTGATGCTTTCTGCCTGATGACGCGATTGGTGACGGTAGCTCCATGAGCACATGCTTGCGTAAACCATTGTGTAAGCGCTTCGTTAACGTCCTTGTGCACGGATTGGCGCTTTCGTTTGCGATTAGTGTTTACGTTCATTTGCATGCAAGATCTGAGATCGTCTTCTTTCCTGAGAATTTTTGCTGCTGTTGAATAACCGATTCCATACTTTTTGGCTGCAGCGGCCAGTTTGAGTTTCTTCACTTTGACATCGTCTATGAGCTCCAACTTTTCAGAAATGCTCAGAGTTTTTCGTTGAGACGCCGACATCACTAATCACAATGATCGCAAGCAAACAGTTTTCAGTGGCAAAATTAACAAACAGACAAACTTCTGACTCAACAGAACAGTGGGTAAAGTGAAAGTGCTGTCCAGTAAATGCAACGACAAGCAAAGTCGGCCAAAAAGCAGGTGGCGCTACCCTTAGACACACAAAGCAAAATCATAAGGTAGAGGGTGTCTCCTACAGACACAGATTGGACACACCGTGTCTCTAGACTAGTCAAGATTAATTCATTGAACTTCACTCTCTCTCTAACTGACCTCTGTTTGATTGATTTACGACATCACACTGTCACTCAAAACGAACTCTCTTATATTGGAGAGGACGGGACCAGAGAAAATCTCTCTTATATCCGGGTTACACTGTAATAAAAAGAATTAAATTGGGATGAAAGACGGCAAAAAAGTGGGCGGTAATTAACTATTTTAGCAAAAAAAAAAAAAAACAACAAAACAAAAATAAACCCCCTTCCAGTCAATAAATTAGTTTTGAAATATAGCAAAGTATTTTATTGGAAATATTTAATCTGTTAGCTTGAAATTAAAACTAAAAAGCTTCAAGAAAGAATTTTCATTTTTTTAAATTATCGCATCTTCTGTGGTGGTGAAACAATGTTAATGGTTATTTTCCTTCTCCTTAATTTTTGTTCTTTTATTTATTATATTTATTATATCCTCTTCTTAACTTAATACTAAGATGCAAAGAGATTAATGATTAAACCTCTTTGCATCTTAGTGGCTTTCAACTTGCTTGGGGTGAAAAATGATTAAGAATTATAGATTGCTACTGTAATTTACAGTATACACATTGAGAACTTATTTTATCTTCACTTTATTAAAATTTTATACGGGTATGTGGTCTTAAATTAAAAAAAAAAAAAAATAATAGGATGACAATAAATAAAAATGGTAAATTTATATTGTAACACCCGAGCGTTATAACCCTTCAATTTTTTCCAAAATAGTCTTAATTCCGTGCAAATGTATATGCTTAACTCAAATCAACAATTAGATATTGAAGAAACCTACCTTTCTGGATGTTAACGACCAGAAATAATTGGAATTCTTCTCGCTCTTCTTGTCATCCCTTACCGGCTTTATTGAAAGACATTTCGCTGCTGTCTCATTTCGCGCACTTATACAATTTTGGCCTATTTACTCCCTTTAACGAAATTAATACGCGATTTTTTCTTTTTAATTTAAAGTTAACTTTTAACTTTCAAATGTATGAAAATAAGTGATAAGTGTAGATTTTACTTAATTTTTTTAAGAAGAAAGTTAACTTTCAAATATATGAAAATATCGACAAATTTTAAAAGAATAACAAAGTACTTTTAAAAATCGATGAAAATACTTATAAATTAAAAAGAACAAAATAAATAGTACACTAGTACAGTAAATAAAATAAAACAATAATTAAATCAATTGTAAGAGGAAGTTAAAAGTTTCATATCAATGGAAAAAATGACATTGACAATTTAAAAACAAATTTGAAGGGTTATTAGCGCTCGGGTATTACAATATAAATTTACCATAAAAATTAATAATTATGTGTAAAAACTTAAGCTTTTAAAGAAAATGTATTTTTTAAACTAAAGTAAACGTTGTTTAACCTTTGGAAACAAAATTCTATATTTTTGTTTCGTAAAAAAAAGATAAAATAAATACACACAAACAAACTCATTTCACATTTTCATGACATTTATTAATTTAATTAACAATAAAAAATAAAAATCGACTAATTATTTTGTACTTATTTTCTTTAATTACAATTCTGTTGGATTCTGTACACAAAACTTTAAGAAGGCAAAAACGCAGTGAAAAATAACGTAAATTGATTTGAATCTGCCATCCACCTTTCTGCTTTTTTTTTTTTAGTTAAAAATTAAATTACATTTTTTTTTTTTTTGTCAAACTTTTTGTATCGCTTTCAAATCATTGAAATTACCTGAACTATTAATTATACAGATAATAAATAGTGGTTAATATTTGACAGTTAAAAATTCACATTAAAAAAATATAAAAACAAATAAATTAATAAATCAAATTGGGAACTTTTACAAGAAAACTTACAATTTGTTTTACACGGAAAGAGGTGAATGAAGCCGGTGTTAAACGACAATACGTCCCTTTCTGAAAAATACGACAAATGATTTCTAGTTCAAGGGTATATAGTAGTAATAAAGACTTAACAACTATGCAGCTTGTGTGTTAGTCCTAAATTACTAACCTATAATTACTGAGAAAAAGGACTTGTTAGTGATATTCATTATGCTACTCGGAATCAGTTATTTTTATTGATCAGAAAATGTAATCAATAATCAGAAAGTGATTTCAACTTTACAAAAAATATTCAACAAAGAAAGCATAATATAATAATAATCTACTTTAGGAAAAATATAATTAATAATGAAACTCAG